CGCACTGATGGAACACCCTATATAGTATATTCAGATAGTAACGGGAAAAAAAGAAGTAAATAAATTAAGGAAAATTAAATAAAAAAAGAAAATAATGTTTTTTTTATTTAAACGATTTACATTTTTATACATATTAAACATTTTTTTCGACTTCATTTATTTAAATAATAGGTGGAGTATTAAAACAACTATTTTCGCTGCACTGTGAACATGCCATACTACAGTATAAGCCACTTTTCTTACATCCACAAGCAGCTCCATATTCCTTTTACAATTTACAAAATAACATTTGCAATAGATTAAGAGCTGGTAATTAATTTATTGTTACTGGAATGGACATGTTATTGGATGAATATAAAAAACACAAAGATAGAAAATAGAGTATAAAGCATTTATTTAATTATTTTGGCAAAAAAATATATTTGAAGTATAAATCTACAACTCAAAAGGTAATATCGAGGAGGAAGAATACGAAATAAAAAGAGACAACGGCGAAGTATTAATGACCAGGGCGACTGATAATACTTCTATTTTAAACATATTAGTAACTCCAGAAAAGCAACATCCTGTAAATTCTAACTTTATAACTTACGAAACATCTGCCAATATAATGGCTGACATTTTAGTTCATTCAACACCACAAAAAGAAGTTCTAGAGAATAACATACAAACTCCTCTTAGTATAATCAGTAGTAATACTGTAAGTACTTCAAAATAATCAGGTTATACCCGAGAATACCGATCAAGGAGAAGCGACAGCTTGGTGTTTTCAGTGGACCGTTTTGTAACGCGCATGTGCGAAAATAAGTTGTGTATCACTCAAAATTATGTTATCTGTCAAAGTCAGTCCAAGTTGTGTTTAGTACGTGAGCAATGTTAAGTGATATTTTTTGGTGTTTGTTTTGTGTAGTAATAAGATGAAGATTTTTACACACTTAGGTATCCTAATACAGATATAAAATGTGCCAAAAAAGTTATTAGGAAACTAAGAATTTTATCACATGCATAAATATTAAGTATAATGATTTAATCATTTTTGACATTTTATTTTTCATATGTAGGTATTGTATTTTGTGAAATATATGTTTTTCTTCTTTTAAATAAATTTAATAAACAATGAACTGCAGATTTTGTTTATTTTATTTTAAAATTATATTTAAAAAAATATAATAAATTCGCGTATTTCAATTAGGATTGGTCAAAGTGGGCAAAATCCCTTTATTATGGCTAAATTGTAAGTTACAATTATGTCAATATAAAGATGTTTTGCCCATTCATATTTACATTTATTGAATGAATCAACTAGAGTTGATTTTGGAAATATTGGTGCATACTTAAATAAGTACTATTTCTAAAAATTCGTCTTTGCACACATAGTCCAATGGACGTCCACTTTAGATCTATTTGAGGGTTAGGACGTCCATATCCGGGCATCCAGTGTACGTCCGTTTATGCTAATTAAATTGACAGCTGAATATCGTTACCCAGAGAACGTCTGTTTTTGGACTTAATTTTAAGTTCAGTAGTATTTTGACGTCCAGTGGACGTCCATCTTAGGTCATTATTTATTAAGCCTACCAGATAATATCCATCTATATATACTTCTTTTTTTTTAATATAACTGGTCATTAAAAATTGACAAATTGAATCTATTACATTTCATTCTATCAGCGGAAGTTTGAAATCTTATTCAATTATAATTAATTATATAAAAAGTTTTCAAGTGGTTCCTTGGTCGAGCTCGTCTAGCGATTGAAAGCGTAAAACGATAATGGATGTGTCGTGAGTTCGATGCCTGCTCAGGTCAAGCGATTTTTAATAAAAAATAAATAAATGGTGTATAGCGATTTGCGAAAATAATAAACAAATTATTAATAATATAAAATAGTGTGTGGTGAGTTGCGGTTCTGTAAAAAAGTGGGGATGTGGTCTCAATGGAAATATAATCCTGGACGTTTTTTGAATGTCCAGTACTCGACGTCCAAATATATTCCAGAATTGGACGTCCTCTGAATGGTCAAAAGTGTGCCATTTGTATACTTCACTGGACGTCCATTGGATGTCGGAAGTCCAGAAAACTCATTTTTGAACGTCTAGACATCCAAAATTGTATATCGAATGGACGTCCAATGAACATATTTATATTGTCTGGGTAATAGCCAGGCCAGGTATTTAACTCTAAATACATAAACCTTAAATGACATCTGGTTTAACTTGGCGAGAAAACCCTTGTTTCTACAGAAATAAGTGATAAACTTGAAAGTACTTTTAATATAATATAAATCTAGAAATTATAAAAATATGTAAGTACTTTTTAAACCTAAAAGCTTTGAAAATATATGCACATTGCAAATATTTAGTTAAACCTCTCAAACTTAATGTCTTTCTAATTGTTACCTAAATTTTTTTGACACCCTTAATTTTATTTACCTTATTTTTAGTTAAGGAAAAGGTAATTTAATTTAAATATGGGGCTTTTATTACATTTTTAACAATAAATAAACCAAATATTGAACAAATTTTATAGATAAATTATAAAATAATAAACGTCTTTTACTTTTATAATAAATAATTAATTATTACATAATGAAATATATTTTGGTGCCGAAATTTCAGCATTGCTATTAACCCTAACTACTTCAATGTAATTAAATCACATTGCAACATTTGCGCATGGACTATAACAATAATTTCAGATAATTTGCCAAACTATTTCGCTCAGTGTAAAAAATAAGCATGTTTTCTCAGCGTGCTAAGTTGTGTATCAGTCAAAGTCATACTGTGAAAAAGGTACATCCGATATCAAAGGCACCGACAGCTACTGTCGCTTCTCCTTGATCGGTATTCTCGGGTTATACATCGATAACTTGTTGCATAATTATAAAGAGTGTCAGTTTGACAGTTTAAATAATCCGACCGCGAAGCGGAAGGATTATTCTGTCAAACTGACACGATTTGTAATTATGCAGGAAGTTTGAGATGTATAACCGTATTTATTTTAAAGTACGTATTGTATTTGATACGATTATTTTTTGAGTAAATTAAGTAAATATCAACAATTTATTAATTTAAATACATATTGGTACAATGAAAATTACAATTATTAATTATTGATAAACGTCAAAATTTTACGGTCCTGTTAGTTAGTGTATTGTTGTCGATGTGGTTACTACGGAAATGAAATTATTGTAAATATTTTTGATTGGTGGAGCTACTCTATGTATAATCAGGTATTATCCAAATTATACGAGGTAACTTAACTAAATTGAACGTTCTAATTGGTTAAAAGTTATACGAAAAAAATAATCAGTAGTAATACTATAAGTACTTCAAAATAATCAGGTTATACATCGATAACTTGTTGCATAATTATAAAGAGTGTCAGTTTGACAGTTTAAATAATCCGACCGCGAAGAAAAAATACATTCCGTTATAATTTCAAAAACATGGCAGGAAAATATAACAGAAAAAAGATGCTAGAAAAGGAAGAAAGGATAGGGGAAAGCTCCACAGAAAAATTCAAAGGAAAGAAAAAAGAGGAAGTAAAAATAAATTACAAGAAAATAAAAATCTGAAGATGATAAGATGTAAAATATGCAGAATCAGATGATTCAATCTGGAATATTAAAGAAGATAAAGAAGGAAACCAAGAGAAAGAAAAAGTGAAGCCTCTAAAGCACATTAACGAACTAAAAAATGGTGATTTCGTATTGGATAGTTTTGTAGGAGGCAAACGAAATGTATGTATTATACAGGAGGTCGTTGGGGACGCCATCAGTATTATGGATTTAAACTGTATTGACACAAGAGAACATTCATTGCAAATGAAAAGGATATTTCAACAGTTTATTTTGATCAGATTTCTGGAATACTAGAAAACCCTGAGGTGATTTCTATTGGTGAACGTTTAAGATATGTATTTAAAAGTTCTGTGATAAGTTTTTATAAAAAATAAAATTTTTATTACCTTTTTATATATGTTTATACTATCTGGTTCTTATATGTCATTTACAGGTACATAGGTGTATTGAAAAGAAATATAATTTTTGAAAAAAATATTTAAATTAACTAAATGGAATTCAGTGCCAGTGTTGCCAGACCTACTGTTTTAACAGTAGATCTACTGTTTTGTCTCTATTCTACTGTTTCAGGCATGAAATCTACTGTTTTCGCCAACTTAGCAAATTTTGTTCTTAATTTATTACATGTGTTTCGTTCTTCAGCAAATGTACAAAGGGTTTTCTCTTTCTCAAGTAAATTTGTTGAAGTAAAATCAACGTAATAAGTTGAATACAGCCAGTATTGTAGGTTTTCGCCACACAAAATATTTAACTTCCAGAGAATCATCATGTTTTGAATTAAAATGCAACAAATTAATAGGACATCATAATAAGAATATGCATGACAAACAAAACATATTTGAATTACCTGATTCGGACTGATCTTTAAGAAATAGGTACCTATTATTTTTTTTGTCATTTATTTTATTGCAAATTATAATTATTTTCCCACTGTATTAAAATCTACTGTTCAGTTTCGATGATTTACTGTTTTTTCCACCCATCTACTGTTCCAGAAAACTCAATATCTCAATGTATGAGTGATCACTTGTTTTTTGGAATTTTATTTAGTAAAAGTACATCACTATAATGTCATCTACTGGTACACTTCTTACTCAAATATATTTTTCTTTTATATTTTTGTTTAAATAATTAAAAAATCAAAATCACAAAAAAATGGTAAATTTTGCAATTTATAGTATAAAAACAAAATTCCGCTTCAACCATATAAATTAATTCACTGCAGCAAAAGTTCGAGGTCAAAACCCCCAGGCGCATCACTAAGTTTAAACATTCGAAGTCATAGCTATATTTTTGAGACATCTTGATAATATAATCCTTGATCCAAACCGACCTTTGTACCAAGAATAAACAAAAAGTGAATTCGCCGTAGGTGGCCCATAACGAGATTAAAAAATGTATAGGTGAAAAAACACTCACCGCAAATCGTTCTTGCATCCCACCAAAATGACGGGAGTGCTGGGACAGAAGCGACGAATTTCCGGGTACCACATCAACCGGCAGTTGCGTAGGGAGATGGGACTGTTGATGCTGAAGCACAGCAGAACCTGAATAGAAAATAAACAGATAGTAATAATAAGTGTCTAGGTAATATCATTTTTAATGCAAAAGACTACTCGAAACTAAATAGAAGAACCAAGAGGAATATTTACCACGTCGGAGCGGCCGTAAGCGAATCTTCTGTCTTTTTCGTGGTCGCCGAAGGTGTCCCACAGTCTGAGACTGACGTTGACGCTGTCCACCACCTCCCATGATCGTTCTAGAACGTCTTTGTAGATCCGATACTGGTCTATGGCCCATACGGTCGGTACGTGCGTGGCCAAAAGTTGCGACAAAGAGACTTGTTTGTTGCACGCGCGTGCGCAAATGAGGCGAGTTTTGCCGACGGCCGTGTCACCAACCACCACACACTTGACTAGTTCTTGGTGGGGTTGTTCATTATCCATTCCCCAAGACCACGACGGCGCCGACATCCATCACAGCTGGCCTCCTGCAACCAAGAATCATAACAATCATTTGTTTTTATGTATTTATTTAGGGTATGTTCTAACAACGATCGGAAACCGGTTAGTGACACCAGGATTATGCGCAGTAGATTATTAGCTTTGTTCGCGGAGCCTGTCGCCGATAAGCCCACGACAGATTAGTATGCTGAGCCGAAAATCAGGAATTTTGACATAATGTCCAGCGTTCGCGGAGCACTTATCAGTAGTACACGACAAGTCAAAATGATCAGCAAACATTAGCGTGCACAATTTGTCAGGACATGTGTAGTAAGTACAAGTGATACAAATTTTTACGTTAACGAAGTGAAAAATGGAACGGAACAAAGAGGAATAGTTGCTTGAGTTTTTAATTATGCCGACTACTCCAATAAATTACAAAAATTGAATGTTCGAACAAATAAAAAAATAAACAACAATTAAAAACTACAATTTTTACAATGAAATGTTTCTGATACCTATTTTAAAAACCATTTTCACAATCTATGGTCTTCTGTCTCACTTTTCGTTTGTACTTTTTTCTATGCATTTGCAGTTAAAGTGTATGATAGTCATTTTGGTACACAAGTCGTTCGCGGTGATCTCTTGTCAGGGATTTGTTACAAATGGCAATTGCGCATAAACGTTTCTGATTATTTATCAGTAACAAGTCGTGTACTTGTCGGCGACAGACTTCGCGAACAAAGCTATTGGGACCGCCAAATTATGTACTGCGCAGAATCCTGGTGTCAATGACTGGTTTGTGATCGTTATTGAAACACACTTCCACTGAACAACTTAAGAGAAATCCCCATTACAATACTCTGAAATTAACAGTAAAAAGATTCATCTGATCGACGAAATTCGCTACATCTTAAATTTATTTACTTCAAACATTGTTGTTAACGACGTGCTGGAATAACACGTCATAATCTATTACATAAAGTGGAACACACTGTATAATAGAAATTAATGTTGAAAATGCCAAGGTGTCTTGTAAAAGCTGTATTTATAATAAATGTGCGAAGTGTGACGCCGACTCTTACATTTATTTCGGTAAGTTACTTAATTTTTAGAGATTCTATCGATGGCCATATTTATTTATTTGAAAATAAACAGAACCGTACTTGGTCATTGGTATATATTACAAGTTGCAGATTAGATAAAGGTTTTTATTGTTTACTGTTTACTATTTCTTGTTTTATGGGGAATCTTTTTTCAGGAAGTGGAAAGAGTAACATACAATCAAATATAAAAATATCAATTTTATTACCAATTTATTCTTTTCAAACTTCACAACTAGTCTTAATAGTTTTCAAAACTATCAATTCAGTTTTTCTTTATAATAATTATAATAAAAAAGAACAATACCTAGATTTCCTCAGTAGTCAAGAACCTACATTTATCATTAGAGGCGACTTCAATGCAAAACACGCCCATTGGAGCTTGAAACTAACAAAAACTAAAGGTAAAAACCTAAAAGAAGCAATGACATAGTTAAAATGTGATCTACATTCAACTGGCAAACCAACTTATTGGCTCATAGATAGTAACGAAATCCCGACCTAATAGACTTTGTTGTACAAAATATTTCAGCAAACTACATCCAAGTTGATGAGGCATGGGACATGAATTCAGATCAATCGTCCATTCTTCTTACTCTTAGTGACACTATTATCTAAAAAGAAAGCGCTCGTAGACCAATAATTAGGAGAACAGACTGGTAAAGCTTGGCCCTTGAAAATAAAAGCAAGCAGCATGGGATAATACGCCACCTATTGTTCAGCGAACAACAGGAAATAAATATCCTAAAGAAATAAGGTACCTTATCTCTGCAAAAAGAAAACTAAGGAGGAAATAGCATCAGACCAGAGCTCCATCAGACAAAACCAAACTTAACAACGCCTCCAGCAGTTAAAAAGAGAGATAAAACGAATCAAAAATGAACCTATTTGTGAGTATCATAATGAGTTGACATGCTGTCATCTTCCATGCTGTCATCTTCCTCGATGTTGCGCAGCTACTTCCACAGCTATGGTCAGAACTATTGGATTTATACATTTCAGATAGATTCTTTAGAGTAAAACAAGATGAAGCATAGTCTGAATTAAAAGAAATTAAAGCAGGGGTATCACAGGGAAGCGTCCTAGGACCCCCTTTGTATCTGTTATACACTTGTGACATATCCCAACTAGAACAACACCCAATAGCTACATTTGCAGATGATAGTGCCATCCTAGAGATATGCAAAGATCATGAAAAGGCTGCAAATAAACTACAAACATCAGTTTATCAAATAAATAATTGGACCAAAAGATGGCGTATTGAACTAAACGAAACCAAATCTGTTTATATTAATTTTACTAACATAAATGGTCAAAAAATACCAATTAACATAAATAATGTCCCGGTCCCTTATGCTAACTCGGCAAAATATCTAGGTTTTACATTAGATGCAAGACTTGGCTGGAAGGTCCATGTTAAAAAGAAAAGACAAGAGTTAGATATAAAATTCAAGAAAATGTACTGGTTACTTGGTAAGCATTCTAGCCTATTTACATATAACAAAATTCTATTATATAAACAAGTTCTCAAACCAATTTGGACCTATTATGGCATTCAGCTCTGGGGTTGTGCCAGGTACAGTATTGTTCTAATAATCCGGAGATTCCAGAACAAAGTATTGGGAAACACTGTCGATGCTCCTTGGCACATTAGAAATTGCGACCTTCATCGAGACCTTCAGATGGACACTCCTGACCAGACTATCACCAGATTCGCTAGGAGTCACGCACAACGGCTCGACCAACATGTGAACGTTGAAGCGATTCAACTTCTTAACAACACGAACCTGACAAGAAGACTCAAGAGAGTGAAACCTTTTGAGTTAACCAAGTGATTCTGATAATAACAAAGCAAAGCATTGTGCGGTTTAGGTTAAAACGTTCGTTTATTGTAATTAAGTTATCAGACCCCATGATATACTAGCGAGTAGAACTTTACTCTTTAAGATTGCAACCCTAGTTAAGTTATGTTGTAACAAAATTATTCATTAACTCTTGAGATTGTAATATTAATAAATGCCCCTTATGGAGTGTTTTTTCGCCAGAAAAAAAATAATTCCGTTGCTAAAATAGATTACTAAAAACGTTTATTTTGAATAATCGATTCTGTCCAATTAATAGATTCTTTTCGATTAATAGATTCTTTTCGATTAATTGACGATTTAATTAATTGACTATTTAATTAATTGACGATTTAATTAATTGACGATTTAATTAATTGATGATTTAATCAATTGACGATTTAATTAATTGACGACTTAATTAATTGACGATTTAATTAATTGACGATTTAATTAATTATTAATTAATTAATTTTAAAAATATAAATAAGAATTGCTTCACTAAAAGTTCACTAAATGTTTGAGCGAAGCATAAAAAGCATATTTCAGGATTTACTGGCTCTGTTTGTCCTCTCTAAAAACTCTATAGTCTGTTTAAAAACCAGGAGGAGCGATTTGAATTTAAGTTGGCAATTCTGGAGACTTTTGATTGGTCAGATTGCAGCCAGTTTCACACATCACTTTTGCATTAACATCAGCTAATAACTGACATTATTGACACTTCTGACATTTTATTTATATTTATAGTTCTGTTATTGCTTTCGGTTTTTGTTTGATCTCTTATCATTATTACTTAGTTTTCCACTCTATTTCTTTAAAAAACAGTTCTTTTCAGAACTTCGGTAAGCAATTGTATTGAATTTCTGCGATTATGGATAATTCTACACCGAGTACTAGTAGAGGTAGCAGTTCCTTGCGTAGTCCACCAAAACAGCGAAAACGTTTGAGTTTAGGCCATTTAAGTCTCGCAGAAAAACAGCACATAATAAATATGTACAAACAGGTATTGGATGATAAACCAAAAACCAAAATTGTGGATGTTGTATCCAAAATTTCTCAATACTCATTACTTTCAAATTAAAAATGGTATTAAATACCCAACATTTTTTTACAGGAGTTGTAAAGTCAACAGTTTACCAGGTATTAAAAGAATACCGTAAAAGTGGAACCATATCTAGTCCAAAAAATATTGGTGGAAGACCCGGACTTCTAAAAACATTTGATGAGGGGTTCAAAAATGCTGTTAGAAGATTGGTACATGATTTCTTTTTAAAAAATGAATTACCTACATTAAATAAAATTTCACAAGCATTGAATAAACGTTTAGATTTGCCACAAATATATCGGTCATCTTTATATACTTTCTTGAAACTTATTAACTTTAGGTAAGTTTGTTACTTTGAAAAGTCAAATGAAATGTTTATTTATTATATATATTTTTTAGATATTTGAAAAGAAATCGTCAAAGTGTACTAATAGAACGTGATGATATCTGTAGATGGAGGTTATCATATTTACAATCAATCAAACAATATCGAAGAGTAAACAGGCCAATCTTTTACTTAGATGAAACTTGGACTAATGAAGGTCATAGTAAGGGAAAAACATGGGTGGACCAAAATGTAACCAGTAGACGTCAAGCATTTATTGAAGGTTTAACCACGGGCCTGAAAAGCCCGACAGGAAAGGGAAGACGCCTCATTATTTTACATGCTGGTTCTGAAGAAGGTTTTGTAAAAGATGCATTATTGGTCTTCGAAGGCAAAAAGGCAGGAGAGTACCATGAAGAAATGAATTCTGAAGTATTTGAGAATTGGTTTTTTACTTTTTTGACAAAAATACCTGATGATGCTGTAATTGTGATGGATAATGCATCATATCATAGCCGAAAAGTTGAGAAAATTCCCTCCTCGTCATCAAGAAAAGCTGAAATGCAGGAGTGGTTACATATGAACAATATTAAATTTGATTTAAATATGAAGAGGTGTCAACTTTTACACCTAATTCGGCAACATAAAGATGCACATAATTTGTATGTTGTCGATGAAATGGCAAAAGAAGCCAATAAAGTTGTTTTGCGATTGCCCCCATACCACTGCGAGTTAA